GCACAATACATAGAACAATAATAGTTTTAAAGTAAAAAAAGTAACTACGAATGGTGACATTGTATTTTGCACAGAAAATGAAAGTAAATTTACATTTGAAATTGATATATGAGGGTGCATATACTATTAATTTAATTGAAAAAAGAGTGTAATTTAAAGTAATGAAAATGGAAAAAAATATGTTAGAAGAGATTTGTTTTAATGTAAATTTTGAAATGAATTTAAAAAAGAAGGTTTGTAAGTACGAAATTGATTCTTAATTTGGACTTTGGAACAGTGGAGAGTTAGTACGAGTCGTAGTGGACCGACACACGACAAGTTGGTACTGCTAATCCGTACGCGGTAGCTATGCAGCAGCCACCCAATCAATTAATCAAACGGCGCTTAATGGCCCCATTCCATTACCAATCCTATCCATTCTAACACGTCATCTCCACCCACTTCTCACTATTATTATTATTATCCAATTTTTGTAACACTCTATAATATAATTATTTTTATTTTATTTTTTAAAATGAATTATTCACTCATTATTTCTTTATTTTTTTTCTAAAGTTAGTGGTCAATATATTCTTTCATTTATAAGTTTTAATATGATTTTTTAAATATTTTATATTATATTACCTTTATTTATTTATGTCATGAAAGGGGATGACCTAAAAAGGTTCATGTTTACAAAACCTTTATTAACACCAATAAATTTGATGAATATTATTTTTATAATTATTGGTTATTATTAAATTGTGACCCCATGCACTCTTCTGACGCCGTAGCCGGAGGGCGGCGGGGATGACCTAAGCTTTGTCGTCACGCGCGATCTGCGATCTCTCTCGATCCACGCGCCCTCTTGTCTTTTTTCTTCTCTTTCCTCATTTTCTTCTGTGACTGTTTCTTTCTTTTTTGAAAAAAGATTAAAAATAAAAAAGCACAACTACAACACTTGAGGAAATTATGAGACACCCCTTTTCACCTCAACTTTTCAATTTTTACCCAAAAAAGTCAACCGCCACCGTTTGTCTATATCTGAACCAGACAACCCGGTTCACTCCTTGAACCGCCCGGTTCAGTCCGTGTCCATCAATATCAATCAACCAACAAGGAGTGTGTCTTCATCTGCAATGAGTTTCTGTGTTGTCTTACCACCTTTCACTGTCATTTTCTTTTTCTTAAAAAAGTTTTTATTTTTAATGTTAATTGGAGACCCATTTTTATTTTATTGAAAAGCTAGGAACTTTATTATTAAAAAAAAGGGTGTTTTTGGGTTTGGGGAGTGGGTGGGGTGGACCACCCGGACCCGGTTCTGATTACGAAGTGTAGCACGAGAGGGACTTAACACGAGGAACCGTGAGTTGCAAGCCAAAAAGGTTGCAACTTGGGAAGCTAGGTGAAACCTGAGAGGGTTTTAGCCAATCCTGGTGAGAGTAAATCGTGGGGGAATTTTATGCTTTTTTTGGGAACAACTGTTAGAAAGTGCCTTGATGAGTTTAAAGGAAAAAATTAAAAAAAAGAGAAAGATAGTGAGTGTTTATGTTTTGCAACGGGGATTTTTCTTTTTCTTTTTTGTAATAATAATAAAAATAAAGAAAAGAGAGCTTTCGGAAATTGGGCAATGCAGAAATGCGCCAATGATGGAAATGAGAGAGAGAGAGAAGTTGAAATGGGGTGTGTTGGGATGGAGAGAAGACCTCAGCATGCAGATTGAAGAGATGATTTGATTTGATGTAAAGCCTGTGAGAGAGGGCTGTGTTTCTCAAAATCCGAGCATGATGTGTCAAATTCCCATGGTATCAATCCCTCACCTAGCATCACCTTCTCTTCTTGTGCTTGATAGTGATGGATTGGATTGGATGGGTGGATGGGATGGGATGTCTCAGTGGGGTCATTCATTTTTAATTAATTAACCAATTCCTTAATTGAAAAATCACAATGTTTAAGGTTTGTAATTAATTACACGATTAGTTAACAAAATGTTAGGAAATGTGGAACATGACACTCTTTTCCTCCTTTTTCACTTTTGGAGAACTCATTATGCTTGCTGTGAGAAGGTAAAATCAACGCAATCCATCAAGGTTTTCAGCTTTATATGTCTCTCATTGTTCCCACATTTTTTTGGGCTAATGTATTTGTTGAGGAAGGAAAAGGGCGTCTCAAAAAGTGAGACATTATATCCAATGTCTTGGGTGATTGGCCCTTGTGGGTGTAAAATCAATGGATCGATCTCAGCTATATATGCTCTTGCTTTCTGCTTCACTTTTTCCTCTCTCAGATGCACAATACCCACTTTCAGTAACATTTGTTTTGTTCTGTGAATGGTCATTTGGTCGCCAAATGTGTTATGGTATTAAAAGCTGTTGCTTTGACATGTCATGATATTGATACCCTCTTGAGATTAGATTGTATATAACAGTAATAATTCTCTAGTTTTGGTTGTATTCGCACTTGTACAAGGGTGTCTGTTCTCTCAGAATTTTGCTTCTTTTTCTCTTTTCTATTTTTGATATGTCATGTAAAAATGATAGTTATTGAATATTATGAGTGTACCCTTTTAAAAGAAGCCATTTTCTCTTTCAACAAATAAATTTTTCACTAGTTATGATTATGATAGAACAGTTAAATGTATCAATCACTACATTGATATGTCAAGCAAATCCTGCTAACTATCATGGTAATTCAGAGTTACTCTGCATTTCTCTTTTGGAATATGAATCTCCAACCCACATGGTTCTAGATTTTACTGTGAAGAAATTTGAAAAAGAAGTATGATCAGAAAAAGGTGAGGTTAAATAAAATTCAAAAAACCAAAAAATTTGTTGGTTTTAACAACGGATACCATTTTTCTTCAAAACAAAAGAAGTATGATCAGAAAAAGCTAAGGGGAATTTTTACACACACATATATAAAAGCTAAGAATGATTTTCACAACGGATACCAATAAAGTTAGCACATGCCTATAATATGATGGAAAACGAGGCGGGAAAAACCTACGGTGAAAAAGAAAAAAAATTGTGGTCTATTATTATCTGATTTGTTAATCTTCAAAAATAAATTCGATGACACACATTTTAATATAAAATTTGAAGCTAAAATAATTAGCTAATAAAATTATGATCAAACTTAATTTAAAATTAATTATGTCAAAATTAAATTTAATTCCATTAAAATAAATTAATCTTACTTTTACCTAGCTTTCAGGAGATTTATTTGTCTTACATGTCACCATCTGGTTGTAGCAGTGCATCATCAGCAAAGGCAGCTGCAACTTCCCATATAAACTGTTTTGTTACCTTTTATGTTATATTTTTTTAAAAGTATTAATAATACTTAAAAATAAAGACTAATGTTGTATAATAAAATTATTTAGGACCAAAAGAACATTACAAAAATTATAATTAGAGAGTAGATTCCCCGAAAAAATTACAATTACTTACTACAATACATCTTTTAAGACAAAATCTGTGATTAAATTAATAGAATTCTCCTACGCGAGTTGTTAGAAACTAAATGCAGGAATGCATTCTGTACTTTTGGTTTAAACTGTGTGTTTCCGAAGGATATCAAATCTGAGAACACACACCAAATTACGCATAAACAGAAATAATGATGAGTGTATCACAATGATAGAAATAGAATAATTTTTAATAGAGTGGTTGAGATTGAGAATGGTGAAGCAAAGGAGTACCAAGTATCACATTTCACATAAATAAAAAGTGAGGAAGTTGGCGTGTAATAAACATGGTTGGTGTTTCTGATTATACAATTTTTGTACTGTGCTGACAGGGAAGATATGGAACAGCCTTTTCGATGTATATAATTAACTGTGAAAAATCACATTCTTTTTTCCTATAATCTGTTTTCTGTTCAAAAGCCTTTTTTCTTTAAATGCACATAAAATAAACATTTCATCTTTAACAGTTAACATTAGTTACAAAATTAGTTTTTATCCTTAAAAGTTATACTTAAATTTATATACAAATATTTTATTTTCTTTCATTAAGGTAATTCAATAAACATTAATTTTTATCAATAATATTATAATAAAATAAATATTTAACAAAATATTATCTTTGATCTTATTTATAAAAAATACTTAATTTATCAATATTAACAAAAAATAGTCTCTATTATAAAAATAAATATAATACTAATTAATGTTTTACATATTAAATAAATAAATACATATATTTGAGTATTTTTTTAATATAAATTTTTAATAAATAAAATCTTAAAAAATTTAATAATTAATATACTTTTAAAAATATTAACTATTTTTTAAAACTAAAATAAAAAATAAGTTTTATTAATATATTTTTTCAATACAGAAATACATTTATAAATAAATGTTAATTATAGAATAACAAATATATTTTAATCTTTTATTTGTAAATAAATTTTTTCTTTCTGTTAATTACAGAAAGTGTTTTTCTCTTTTTTTCTTTGCTAGTTGTTATTGTTATTATCTCTCATAAAAACACTTTCTGTTCCCTCTCTCTTACAATTTCTTCACTGACAAAGGAATACCTGCACACTTCCTCACGCACGCACGCATACTCAAACCCCACTCCCTCGTACATCACCCTCTCTTTCTCTCTCTAGCTATGTGGATCATGATAAGGACCCTGTCAGAGGGTAGAGAGAGATATCAGAAGAGGATAGTGCAGAGAAAACACAGAGATTTTTCCAGCCATATCATACCTTATTATTTCACCTTTTTCTCTCTGCCACTCGATTCATCAAATCCCCATGAAACCCCTTATAAACCACCCTTCAACTCCAATCCCAAACCTATACCAAAAGCCACACTCACCAAAGTGAAAAAAATAAAGTGATAACCCAACTCATAAAACCCTCTTTCACTATTTTGCTTCTGCTGTTCCCCTTGCCATGGCTCTCTTTTCCTATATATAATGAAAGCCACCAAGGATTAGATTAAAACTTAAGATTCTCCTTCTCCTTTCAAAAACTATTCACTCTTCTTGCAAGTGATTCTTCTTCCTTCTCAGATGGACAACTACTACCCCCACTTGGACAACACTGAGGCTCATTTGCCACCTGGTTTTCGATTCCACCCCACGGATGAGGAACTCATCACCTACTACCTTCTCAAGAAGGTTCTAGACAGCACCTTCACTGGTAGAGCCATAGCTGATGTTGACCTTAACAAGTGTGAGCCATGGGAGCTCCCTGGTAAACACCCTTTATTTCTATGTTTTTCATTTTTACTTAGTACATTTCATTGTAAAGGTTGAATTTTCTAACCTTGCGGTGGTTGTTGGCAGAGAAAGCGAAGATGGGTGAGAAAGAGTGGTACTTCTTCAGCTTACGCGACAGAAAGTACCCAACTGGGTTAAGAACCAATAGGGCTACTGAAGCTGGTTACTGGAAAGCCACTGGGAAAGATAGAGAGATTTACAGCTCCAAGACATGTTCTCTTGTGGGCATGAAGAAAACCCTTGTTTTCTACCGTGGTAGAGCACCCAAAGGAGAGAAAAGCAACTGGGTCATGCATGAGTATCGCCTTGAAGGCAAATTTGCGTACCACTACCTCTCTAGGAACTCCAAGGTCAGTACTTTGGTCTTCCTCTAATTCATGTGTAGCATAGTTGCATTACTCTAGCGTGTACTTTTGTTCTGATGATGAGCCGCATTATTCTTGAAATTTGTAGTTTCATAACTTGAGCTAGGTGGAATCTGGCTTCCATTTTAGCATTGTGTAATTGTTTCGTTTATCAATGTTGATCATTTTTCTCTCTGTTGTCTTTTAAGTTTTGATTCTTGATTTAAATTTTGTACTTTAATATCGTAATGGCAGGATAGTTCTGTTCCCCTTGGATTTGTGTTCTCTTATTGAATTGTGAACGGTTATTACCCAACGGTGTATGGCAATGTTTCTTAATTTAGTTTTCGTGAATACATGTGTTTGCATGGGAACTACAAATTCAATATGGTGATTACAACCGAAATGGTACTGAGCTTCTAGCATTAATGCAACTGTTCCATTTTGCATAGTGTTCACATCAACTATCTCTTTTTTCCATAATGCTGTTTAGAAGCAGACGCTTCTAACGGCTTTTTAACACAGCTTTTCGTAACAAAAACACTTTTAGAACAGTTATATTGCATGCTTATTATTCTATTTGTTTTGTGCACTTAACTGACCTGAAAATGGTTGTGATCTGATGAAGGATGAGTGGGTCATATCTCGTGTGTTCCAGAAGAGTAACACAGGAAATGGAGGCTCCAGCGTGTCTGTTACAAGCGGTTCAAAGAAGACAAGAATTAACAGCACCACTAACTCTACAAACATGAGTCTTTGCCCTGAACCAAGTTCTCCTTCTTCTGTTTATCTTCCACCATTGCTAGATTCTTCTCCTTACCCCAACACCACAAACTTCAACGACCGTCACAACTGTTCCTATGACAGCACCACTCAAAGAGAGCACGTGTCCTGTTTCTCCACAGTTTCTTCAGCTTCAGCTGCTGTTTCTAACAACGCCTTCAATAATGCAAGCTTTGACCTTACTACTCAGCACCTCACTAGTGACCCTTTTGCTAGGTTCCAGAGAAACGTTGGTGTCTCAGCTTTCCCAAGCTTGAGATCACTGCAAGATAACCTTCAGCTTCCGTTCTTTTTCTCCCCGGCGGCGCAGCCTTTCTCAGGCGGGGGTTCCGGTGACTTTCCTGGTTGGCCTTTGCCGGAGGAACAAAGGGTGGCTGAAGTTGGATCCAACGTGGCATTGGGGTCTTCGGAGCTTGATTGCATGTGGGGTTACTGATATTTGTTTGACCTTATTAAGCGTTGTGTAATGTTCCCGTTATTGGGCTCGAACTTGGCTTAGCTTTGTGTTTTATGCTAATTAGTATTTATATTACTAGTGCTAGTCGTTGCTAGGGTAGTTTGGAGTTTGAGTGTAGTTGTAACTGCAATATGTTGAGTTTCGTAAATGAACCAACAATGGATTTATGTGTCTTCAGAAAATATTTGTATTCTCTTACGTGTTGGAATTTAATGCATAATGCGTATTTAATATCAAGGTATCAGTGTTGGATCCTGTTTGGTAGAATAGATACGATGGCAGCATAGTAACATTGTGTTAGGGTGTGTGGGGGCTGATAAGTAGGTAGGAGTTTATTTGATTATATTGATTTGCCTTTATGGGACAGATTCATGTTTTTCATTAATGGATGATCTGAAGTGGAATTAACATCGGCAAGAAATTGCTTTGACGGAATCTTGCATGAACCTTAGCTATTATGTCACTTCTGTAATAAAATTCTTGTACCTATATTTGGATGTGCATCTATGTTGCGTATTTGGATTAATTTATTTTGTTTCCTTTTTACGTAATGGTTTTGTTAGTTTATTTCATACCAACGGCGGCAAATGGTTCACATCGTACTGAAGGGCATTTATGTTTCCCTTAACATCTTTCACACTCGTTGGTTTTCGGATTTAGAAAAATTACTAAAGATGAATGGGATATAACTTCAAGTTTAGATTCTAATTAATGTAATTACGAAATGTTAGATGACATTTAGTTGTACACGATATTAGTTTATAAATTGATTTCTATATTTTAAAAACTTATGTTTTGTTTTTTATATAAATATTTTGCAGAATTTTAATCTTTTGATATATGAATATTTTAATCGATTATGATAATATAAGATATTATACTTAAATTTATCTCTAAAATACTTGTTTTTTTATTAATAAAAATATTTACTTAATTTTATATTTTTATTTTTTATAAAAATATTAATAAAATATCAATGTTAACATTTTTATTATAATTTTTAAATTCAAAATTATCTTAATTCATAAAAAATATTTAAATATATCTAATTTTTTTAATCATAGAAAAAAATATTTTTGTATATAAATTATTCTTAATGTTTTATTAATTATGATTATAATATTTTCGATTGACATGTGTGTATTAATCAAGTTTATACGTTTCATAATTTTTTTATTCAATACTTCATTTTAAACTTTCTGTAAAGTCTATTAATTTTTTTAATCGTTGGTTAAAATATATATTTTGATGTTTATAATTAATACCTATTTTTGAATTAGTACTTGTACAAATAATTTATTATATTTTAAACTCTATTATTAATGACAAACATTAAGACGTAAATAATAAAGATAAAAGCATAAGAAAATATTTATATAAAGATTAGAGTGTATCTTTTAAGTATATTAATTAATTATGAAGACTAAATATATAATTTAACTAAGAATATATTGTTTTGGTTTTTTATTTGTTAATTTTTAAATTTGTTTGGTTAGAAATTTAATATGATAATAATCATTATATTTTTTTATGTGTTTTCTCTTATTTAACTTTTAAATGTTTTATACGAATATAAATGAAAAAAATAGATGTTATGTATTAGAAAGTTTTCAACTTTTCTTTAGCTTCTTTTTAAGTTTTTATTTTCACTCATTTGACACATGAAGTGAGAAAATATTATTTTTTATTATCATCACGGATGGTTGGTCGTTTGAGTTATTTTTATACCAGTGATTATCCAGTACTGTACTGAAGTTGACGTACACATGCGCAAATGTGGTAGCTGCAAATGGTCTTGAATCACCACACAATTCCTTCAATAACTACATGCTTATAACATAACGCCTAGTAGTTCTTGCTAATCAAAGTTTTGATTATTGGGTTTTAGTAAATGCTTTTGTTTTTTCATCAGTAATCGAAAAATTAAAGAAAATTTGTTAATATCAAATTTCAAAACTATTTCTAGGTAGGTAGTTAAATGTAATATAATTGAATAAAATTTCATTTTTTTTTGCAATGAAAAATTAAAATAATAATATTTTTTTTTGGGAAATTTTTTCATTTGTATGAACTTAAAATTATCCTTAAAGGCACTGATGTTAATAAAACCAAATCATGAAATAATTTTATCCTCTCGATAAAGTGATTAGATCAATGATCTCTAGATTAAATTTATTTCTTCTAGTCTAGGCTCAACTTCTTATAGTTGATGTAAAAGCTTCTGCATTGACTACATAGAAGTATATTTTTCTGGCGGTTTTAGAGCAACATAGTTATAATTGGAGTTCATGATATATGTGGATTTGATTATAAAAATTACTAATAATATTCTCTTTTAAATATATTTTTAACACATTTTTTATGATAAATGGGCAGGCCCTGGATCTCATAAATAGTCTTTGATTTATGTTTTATTGTGTTTTTTTAGTCATGAGTTTCCTTTATATTGAATGGTTGCAACCCACGTGAAAAAGAAACAAGAATGGACCAAAGAAAAGATCAATGAGCGTTAGGGTTTGCTGAAAACCAAGATCTTATGGATTTTACTGCAATGCTATTTTCTAGTTTTTTTTTTTTCTGTGTATATCTGAAAAATCTTTTGGATTTCAACCAGTAATTGGCTCGTTTGTGTATCATGCTCAAATGTTTTATTATTATTTGAAAACTTAATGAAGAAGTAACAATTCTTAATTTCCTTTTCAATTTAACTCCTCTAAAGTAAGAAAATATATAAAGTGAAAAGGTAAAAATTAATTTACTATTTATTTAAAGTAAATTATGTTTACAAAATAATTTAATTCAAACAATGATAAAAAAAAATCTCACTTTCTCAGTTGATGCAACTTTTCATCAGCTAAATCCTTTAGTTATCCTAACAATTAGTTTTTGGAGTTGTGAATATGTGTCCATGAATTATTATTGAGGTGAGAGTTTGCAAAGTGATATTCCTTGAACAATCTATATCAATCAATTTTCAGACATATAAAAAGCACAACTTAATTCATTTCATAAATATATAAAAAATAATGATATAAAAGTTAAAGATCACCATGCCATGTTTAATTAAATCTTTCAAACCGTGGTCTACATCTAGTCATGAATAAGTGAAAATGTTCTGAATCGTTGTATTAGTAATTAGCCATATTAATTTATTCATCTTAACAGTAATTTTGGGACAATCCAAAACTTTTGATTTAAGAAATTAAATTCAAAATGGTTTATGGAAATAAGATGAAGTTACTTCTTAAATCTAATTAATGTCAGTGAAGGCATTCGATACACAGCTATTAGAAGAGAGAACCAAAACAAAACTAGACCACACCTCATAGGATAAGGAACAGGTGAAGAAAAAGTGAGTGACATCTCCTTGATTGTTGTCGTAGAACGTACAATATGTCCCCTGAATACCGGCGATGATATTTCTTCGGAATAGATTCATTTTTGTGGGGTAAGCAATACAGGGGCGTCTTTAGCAAATTTCGAAAACAAATTTTTTTAGTTTTCTGAAATAAATTTGAATATATGTTTTTAAAATTTCAAATAATCTCTAGCAAATATTCCAATTGTACAAATTTTTTCTTAAATTCCATGTATATTCTACAACAGTCAATTTTGTTTAAAAGTAGATAAGATTGTTATGAATAGTAATTTTTAAAAAATATTTAATATAATTATATTTATTTGAACTCAAAGCTATATTATGTTGGAACAATTTTTGTCATTTGATCAACGTGCATGTTTGGTGGATTATATGTTATTTTTTTAAAGTGTTATTAGTATAATTTATCAATTAAAATTTAATTTGATAAAAAACTAAATTCCAAAATTTTGTATATTATAAAGGTAAAATTATAATTTTGATTAATAAATAAAATTTAACTAAAATAATATATATGTATTTTTTACTATTATGAAAGTTTTAGAAACAGGCACTTTAACATTGGTGACAGTAAAATTTAGTTACTGTACAAGAAACCTATAAAGTGAGTTAATTTTGAAAGCAACAAGTGATTTTAATGTAATTTAAAATAGATACAATCTCAAATAATTAAAATGGAAAGGAGAATGTCCAGCTTGTGATAAATCATAGGCAAGCCTGAAGAAGGAGAAATGATTCTCATAAATTGTGTTGTTACATTTAATTTAATGGGTGGTTGTAGAGGGTGAGGAGGTACAAAGGGATGGTCTCTGAGGAGTGTTGATTCATTTCACGTGGGGATTCTGAGTCTAGTGTTTTAGACTGACTTGGTGAGTGAGTACTATGGTCTATAGCTATACCGTCCTATTTGTGGGAGGGACAAATTTAATGCTCTTCCTGTTAACTTTGTAACTTTTATTTACTTCTCTTGGTTGAGCTTTAGAGCAGGTAGAGTGCAGGGGACCCCTAAAAAGCTAACAACATCAGCAACCCTTCTTCCATCCATTCAAACTTGAATCTTTACCCTGGCCCCCTCCCTATTCTCCTTCTGTCACACCTCAGCCATCAAATTATTGCAAATATGCTCAACCCAGCTATTAGCATGGATATGGAAACTTGCATCAAAACCCACTTTCAAATTATGTTAGGGAGGAAGAAGATATATATGTCATTGCCATAACTTATCGTGTCCCTAACTGTTTCATTGTTGGTAATCACTGAGTAAAAATAGGAAAGCAATTGCTAATGAGGAATTAATCAATAATTTTAGTATACTTTCATTTTTTTTTTTACATTTTCAACCAATTAGAATACATGCAAGGATGATTTTTATATCAATTATTATTATAAAAATTAATGATTCTACTTATATGATAATTTGTATTGGATGACAGTAAATTAAATTATATTTTAAAAGTACTGATTAAAAGATTTAAAAGTTTTTATTCAAGATCATTCCTCTATTTTTATTTATCTATCTATTTATTTATTCATGTAAAAGTTGAAAACGATATTAATATTCTTTTGATTATATAAAATATTTATACTATTTGAGTAATTA